AGAGAGAGAGAGAGAGAGAGAGAGAGAGAGAGAGAGAGTTCTCCTTCTTCCTTTTCTCAGTCCACCATCTCTCTCTCACCCTCTCGCTACCTGACTTCACTGCATTACGAGAGAGAGAGCTTGGTGACATTGGATCCAGACTCGACATGGACTTCAGACATTTTGACGAGGGATTATTTGGGACTTGTAACGAAGACTTGGTGTTGACGACTTTCCCATCTCCCCTCTCCTCTTCTTCGTCTGTTTCCCTCCTCTTCGTCTGTGCATGATCTGGACCTGGCGCATTCTTCCTGTGTGTAGCGCCAGGCCCCCTTCACACCTTGTGATGAGGATGATGTATGTTTAGTCTGCATTGCGACATTGATTGGGCTAGTCATTGGTATTCTAGCATTCTGCTGCGCTATCTTGTACTATGTGAGAGAGGTCAGTCCCGATCAGGTCAGGACTTGCATCTAAGTCTTCCACTGTGCTATAAAACACCATTTTGTATGTATCAGGATGTACACTGCTTGTTGAGATTTCACTAGCACTGAATTGTCCATTCAGTCCTTTTCATCACATTGCGGATCCTCGGTTATATATATGTACATCGCCCAATTGGGCATGTAACAACCACTGTCCTGCCAAGCCTCTACCGCGCCTCTGCCGAACGGCTGAGAACCGTTCGCAGTGTACTGCAATACGATGAACAGTGCACGGCAGTGAACTGGTGGTTTAAGGCACACAGGGATGTGGGCAGCTACCGCTTAACCACAATCAAAGTGGCCAGCCTTGTTCGTGAGAGGCATAGTAAAAGGGGAGCTGCAATAAAAAATAAAAGGGGTACCCCAAATAAAACTAAAGCAAAGATACTTAAGAAAGGGAAATATAATGAATCTATTGAGCTCCGTGTTACTTGGTATAAAGGTAAAACTGTTTCATTGTTGGCTTGGCTTATCTAAAGTGTGCTTCATTGTCCGCAAATAGGTAAAGTTGCTTCGACTTTGGATCTCGTCATCTGGGTGGAACAGGGGATGTTGTGGTGCAAATCACACACACACACGCACACACACACACACACACACACACACACACACACACACAAACACACACACACACACACACAGACACACACACACACACACACACACACACAGTCCTTACCTCTGTTCTGCATCCTTGCATCATATTACTGGCAACGGAGTGCATGTGTATCCATACCTTCAGTTTACAGTTTTCCTCCCTCAGTTTGTGAATTTCTTCAAGGGCAGCTTGGGTAGCCGCTGCACGGGCCTCTGCTGCAGCAGCCTCACGTTCGGCTTGTCGTGCTTGCTCCATAGATTTCTTATACTTCTGGCGTTCTGTAAGCAAGGCTGACTTTGTTTCCTCCACCTGTTCCTTCATCTGCTCCATCATCTCCATCACTCCTGCAACCTCGGCTTGTCTTGCCTCCTCGATCTCCATCTGCATTGCATTCGAACGTACACCTTCAGTAAAAAAGAACGAACTTCACAAAGTTCACATCATTACTTTGACGTCTACATGATGATTTCTATCTAACTTAGGAGTTAATCCGTTTCACATTTCGTAACTCACAGGCCATAGGCGCCGGCGACCAGATGTATCATTCAGTAAAGCTGTGTGTTGAAAGTCAAAACTCTTGGGGCATCCTTGTGCAGGGGCAATGCAAATCTTCTCGGCAGCCTTCCGATTTTAATGGATGTCCCAGAGGATGTGCATTGACAAGCGCTAATCTGATTGCTCTTCCATTTTGACTGTGAGGAGGAGGAGGGGTCAGGAGGCTCTCTCTCAATACGGCCAAGCGGTTAGATGATTGATGGGTTGTCGCCATGTAAGGGTTCGCCCACTACCGTCTTCACCCGAATAGAACGCCCGGTCATTATAGCCGTATTTGGTGCAACATTCAGTCTGCATACAGCGATAATGACCAGGCGTTCTATTCGGGTGAAGACGGTAGTTTAGCCTGATGGGCAGTTAATCCCCTCGTCTGAGGGCAATCAATGCTGCTTGTCATCTACAATTTACAACTTGCTCCAATTTTGTAATTGGGATGCTGGACCCGGTTTCCAGCTAAGGGCACACCTGGACTGAATGTGGCCGTGGCTGCAGTCAGATTCATCCAGGGAAGCCTTCAGTCCGAGTATTCCATCACCTGATTATGTGGGGGCTCAGCTGGTGGAATCAGAGATCGGGTACACTATGCAGTACTGGGCAAGGGCCACTGGTGCTATGTTCGTGATTAGACGACATGAACCTGTTTGCAAAGCCGGCCAGGTTCACGCTCACATAGCAAACAACATGGCACAGCTGGGGCCTGGCCCTGAAGCACTGTGTCGAAGACCGCTTATCTGATCACGACGGAGGTTGACTTCAGAATCATACAGAGTCAACAGTCTATCCAACACAGGCATATTGGTGCCGGTCTACTCAATGCAAGGAAATTGCCTGAAAGTTACGACTGACGTTCTAGGCGGTGCAACGACACAGGGTTCAGCACGCACATCTGACAGGTGTACGTCTACTTCTGGTTAACAGTTTCCCTACCAAGCAAGTGACCCTCAATGCTCCACGTGCAAGGAAGATGAGCAATAGCGAACTTCAGAAATCAAACATTATCATACACATGAGACCAGATAGTCGTGACCTCGAACCAATAGCAGAATTGCATCACGAGTTCACCAAATAACAGTACAGCAAAAACTCATAATTGACTATGCTGGAATAGTCTCATCATCATCAACGAAGAACCAATGTCGATATCCTATCTGGCGCTCGACGCCCAGACTACAGATGGCAAATCCTATCTAGCCTAATCTGCAATGCTGCCGATGACGTCAACAGCTCCCCAAAGTACGAGCAGATCTTGGCCAATGCCACATGCTTCGAGCACCAGGTATGTCTCTCGTATCACTCACAACCTCGTTCCCCAACTCACAGATGCCACATGCACCCAAGAACCACCATGCGCCCCATCCAGCATACAGCAGCGCAGCTCGGCTATGGCTGCCTGCTCCTTCCAGCTCGCCCATGAGCGCATGAGCCTGGCCAGCGTTAGCGCAGCAGCGCTTGCGCAGCATGCAGCCAGTGCCCGAATGCCCAATGCGTAGGCAGCCCCTTCTCTATATCGAGGTGGCCTGCTGCTGCGTGCGGTAATGCGGTACTGGGCCCTGGCCCAGAAGTTTCCGGTAGGCCCCACGAGGCTGAGCCTCAGTCCGAAGTAAACAGGCCAAGGGCCTGTGGTAGTTACCAGCGCCCAACTGCCCTCAGCCTTTGTTCGGTCCACTTTGTGTATCCGGCCCAGGGCCTGCCCTCAGTTACATGCACTGAAAGGCAGCCTGGGCCTGGGCGCTTCCAACCAACTGGCGCTGCGCAACTGCCTGAATTTCCCCAGTTGCGTGGTGACCCCAAAATGGCCTGTAGGCCTCGGTCGTGCCTGCCTTCACTTAGGGCGGCCGACTGTGTGAAAAATAGGCCCTGTAGGGCATATTGAGGCCCTGTGCCTCACACAAGCTCACCAGTCGATGAAGGATGCAATCGATTCTTTTTTAGCACAGCGAGAGTGAAGGGTGCAATTGATTCTTCTTTGGCACAGTGAGGCATACCCTCAAGGCTCCAAGCTCAACAGTCGACGAAGGATGCAATCAATTCTTCTTTAGCACAGCGAGAGTGAAGGGTGCAATTGATTCTTCTTTGGCACAGTGAGGGGTACTTCTATTTTCGTTTTCCGTTTTTCATTTGGTACAAAGAGATGGCGGAACACCCTTTTGCAAGAGCGGACGTCAGGTAGGGGGCTCTCCCAACACCTTTCAGAAAAAGAAAGATAAAAAGTATGCTCGCATAGAAACTTATTAAAAGAAACATAGTAACATACAATGATATTCCATTCGTAAGAATGTGACGAGGAACCTCTTTTGACCTCTAGCCAGTTCAGAAAGAGAAGGGGGGGAACGAGGAGAGAAAACAATTAGGATAGAAAACAAGACAAAAAGAAGAGATGAAAATGAAGGTAAACAGAGGAGTTTAAACAAGGTAAGAGTTCGTTGTGAGCATGATTACCGCCTTGCGCTTCTCTAGTTGCAACCGCAGCGTTAGCTCTTCGACCTGTTTCTCCAGTCGGTTCTTTGCTTCGCGAAGGGCTCCAGTCTCCCTCGCTTGCTGCAATAGACACACAGTATGCAAGGTGTAAATGGAGAGCGCCCCACAGATGTCAAACAATCTGAAACGATAGTTGTGGTACACCGCATGCATGCAAAGGGTGCACGTGCACTACGCGTGCACGCAGAGGATGGTGTCCCAGAATTCTTATTTGTTGAATTTACAAAATGCAATGCCCACTTTATGGAAGCTTCATCACTCCCAAAGTGATGTTGCCAAAACCTTCGATAAAACAAAAAAATTAACTGCAGCAGCAAATAACAACACAGTTGAACACACATTAGAGCGAAGAGAATGAGCGAAGAGAACAAAGCATAACTCCTAACAATGAACAACAACAAGAGTCTCAATGCCCTCCAGTCACCTCCACTCCTTCCCTTGGGATTCTTCTCTCAATCCTGACCACAGATCAGTCTTGTCCAGACAACGATTCTTCTCTCCAACCTTTCCAACCTATGCTACCGTCACCTGAACAGAACACCCGGCCATTATAGAGGTATTTTGGGCAACTTTCTGCCCAGATGCAGCGATAATGTCCGGGCGTTCTATTCGGGTGAAGGCGGTAGTCTAGTCCTCCTCACCAGACATCCCGGAGGTCAAGCGGAGGAAGGAATGAAGTCTTGAGCGAAAAATGTTGGTCCCTTATAGTTTTGCGCTCTTGGAGTTTACTTCTCCGACGCTGACTCTTTGCTCTCCCAGGTGTATCCAATCCTCCTCTCTACATTTCTGTCCCAACAACCATTGACATGTGATCGTGCAAATTAAATCACGGATGTGCAAATTAAAGCACAGCTGTATGGCCTGATTGCCTGCTGATTCCTCATTCCCCATGCATCTGAGATAGATCTTCCCAGACCAGTACCAGATTGCAAGGTCCCAGATTCGCATCCAGCGGCGAGCAAACTGCCGTAGGTTGCCTTGCCCTCCTGCAAGGATCCTGACTCTTGGATAAGTGAGTCTGTTTAGTTCAATCCCTGTTTGGGTTTGGGAAGAGGAGTTCAGTGCGGAACACAGTATAACCCGTAAACTCCATCCTAGGTGGTTCGGCAATTGGCTCATCTTGTCTGCAGCAGGCTATCAGCCTGTTGGACCTTCATATGTCGTTGATGTTCTGCTCCACCTACAATTTCATCTGGTCCTCCGCGCCTCTAAGCTTGCTCAGCTCATCGATGCTGAGAGAGACTCCTTTCAAAAACGGCAGCCACAGGAGCCTCCGTCTACCCCCGGAAGCCTGATGGACCTTCACTGGTTGTTGATGTTTTGCACCACCCACAATTTAATCCGGTCCTCCACGCCTCTAAGCTAGCTCAGCTCATCGATACTGAGAGAGACTCCTTTCGAAAGTGACGGCCACAGGAGAGTCCCTCTATGCATGGACCGTTGGGGTTGGCACTGCTGTGCACCATCATTACAGGAACAAGCTGATGAGGTACATGGTACACTTCAATTGCTGCAAACTCAATGTCTTCAGCCCATGCTGATTATCTCGCCGACTGTGTATCACCGTCGCGCCAGAGAAGCTTCACAAGCTCATGCTGCCCGACCCACGGTCCCCAATTCTGATCAACAGCTTCGTCCTTGCAGTAGCTTGGCTTCTTAAGGGGAGGAGGTGTGGCATATCGGGGACTTGGCCACACCGGGCCAAAGGCTTGGACACCATTTGGGGTGGCCAAGGCCTCACCCGCGCCACATTATGGGCCAACACCTGTCACCTCTTGTCCTGCTGTGTCTGTTACTGGGAGTGCCTGTCCAGACCGCCCGCTTGCTCTATGGCCAAGGTAGGAGGAGGTTTATGTCTGCATTAGGACTGGAACTCGTAAAGCAAACAGAGACGGCAACAGAGAGCTTTAACCAACAAAGACCATCATAAAGAAAACAGAGACTTCGATGGAGAGCCTTTTCCGAAGGGACAGAAGGACCATTACACCAGCAAGACAACGATCAGACTTCAATACTAGACCAGCACAGACTCGAACAGGATGCAAGAGAAATGAATGCCACAGACACTTGGAAAGCTTTCACTATTGTGAACAACTTCTTTTGTGTGTTGCACCTGCTACTCCGCTACGCAGGGCATTCACATTTTGTACCCGCGGACTGACTTGTCCTGAATGAAGACAAACTTTGTCCCTGAAAGATTGAGTGCTAACTGTCGCCATGTGTAAGTGGGGGTCACATTCGTCGTTTGCCGGCCTCATCTTGTGCCGACATGGACTCCCATCATCACAGAGATAGATCCTGCTCATCTCTACTATTCCAAGTCTTGCCAATCTTTTGCATACTCTTCAGTATCGAAGTTGCCTGGTTATATGAACAAAAGATCCATTACCTGTCTTAGGTGCCTTAGCTCTCGGCGGGCAATCTTCCTCCTCCAACTGCATTGTAATGTGAGGGTCGCAGATAACATCGCCTGGTACTTCTGTGATGCATAGTGACGGCGCCATTGTGCCTAGAGAATTGTCAAATCAACCAACATTCACAATCGAAATTGCAGGTCACAAAAGATGTAAACCAAGATGAAACGAGAGACAAAGAGCGATCCTAGACAGAAAAGGACAAGGGAAGAACAAAAGAACAACAGTAGCCGAGGCAAACTCGAGAATTGAGATCAAGGTACCACGCAAAAATGGCTGGAGGAGCCAGTCAAATGAAAAAGAAAAGCGCCGCACTAAATTTGACCAAAGCTCGACGCACAGGGGGTATCCGCCCCGTACAAAAGAGGCACAGATGTAGTGGTTTATGCGATGAAGTGGGCAACTCATTCGGCGACTTGCACGGTCGCCCTCACTAAACCAACAAGACTCTGGACTGGAACATGCAAGTTACTGGAGGCGGTGGCATGTATTATGCGAGAAAGCCCGTGCCAATTACGGCTGATGAGAAGGCGGGCACGTGTTTGAGCAACGCTTGACGCGCAGGGGGAATCCGCCCTGTACAAAAGAGGCACAAATGTAGTGGTTTAAGCGATGAAGTGTGCAATTCATTCGACGACTTGCACAGTCGCCCTCACTAAACAAACAAGAATCTGGACTGGAACACGCAAGTTGCTGGAGCTGGTAACATGTACAATTTGAGGAAGCCCATGCCAATTATGGCTGATGAGAAGGCGGGCAGGCGTTTGAGCAAAGCTTCATGCGCAGGGGGACTCCGCCCCGTACAAAAGAGGCACGGATGTAGCGGTTTAAGTGATGAAGTGTGCAATTCATTCGGCGACTTGCACAGTCGTCCTCACTAAACCAACAAGAATCTGGACTGGAAGCAAGTTACTGGAGCTGGTGACATGTACAATGCAAGGAAGCCCTTGCCAATTATGGCTAATGAGAAGGCGGGCAACTACAAAAAGCTGAGAAGAGAGCAACATGGGTTCCCTTGGGGACAATTGGTGAATGTACGAAATCTCATGCCTTTGCATTCAGGACATACTCGGACTGTTCTGAGTGTATCTGACTGCAATTACGGCCACGCCTGGATGGATCTCACTGCAATCATATCCAGATTCCAGAGCTTATTTGTAAAGTCCTAGTGTGAGTATGCCCCCGAGAATGCGGTGCACGACACATCAATCTGAGAGCGCACAACTTTTCCCACAGTTCTCAGTAACTATCGACTTCCGAAGATTGCTGATCCAAGCTTGCCTTTCACGCCAGTAACGCAAGACAGTTCGGTGTAGGAACCCAGTTTGTGGAAAACATTGTGTGCACACTGCACACTGCACAATCATGCATTTTTTTTTTTTTTAATGTTTGTACACTGCACGTAACTGGTAAAAAACAGGCGACCGACAATGCAACGAAGAAGAGAATGAAGTAAGAAACACTCCAGCTGGAGGAATCAAAAAGAAAAGGAAAGAGAGAGGCCTGCTGAACATGAACACAAACAATATACGTAATGGTGACGATTCCCCCTTCACGCTTAATTCCCCCTTCACACTTTTCTGTGTACGTACCTTCTTCATTGCCTGGACTCCATCTCTTACTACCACCTTGCCTTCCCCGTTCCCCCCTCACCTTCTTTTATCTGTTTCTTAGCCATTTCATTATTTCGAGTTTTTATCATTTTTCGAGTCCTTGGGTCCGTCCCACTAACTTGAGCATATCTTTACCCTACTTACAAATCCAACACACACACACACACACACACACACACACACACACACACACACACAGAGAGAGAGAGAGAGAGAGAGAGAGAGAGANAGAGAGAGAGAGAGAGAGAGAGAGAGAGAGAGAGAGAGAGAGAGAGAGAGAGAGAGAGAGAAAGAATATGTCAGCAACCGGGAAGATCACCTGTAAAGTTGTGTAAAGCTGTAAACAGAATCTACAGTTTTGCACACAAGCGACAGACTGCTATGGTCATCAATATAGTAAGTAAACTACAGGAAGCGCTTAAAAAAGAGTAATAGATTTTTCAGAAAGGGCAAAAATTAATAGAGTTTCCAGACCTGAATGATCTCCGCGGCGTTGTTCTCTCGAAGTTTGTTGAGTTCATGCTTTGCAAATAGCATTCGGACAGATGATTGAATCTTTGTTGCAGCAGCACGCATTTCTGAATACCACTTCCACTGTACCCTTCCCCGCACAAAGCGCTGAATGTTTGTTGCAGCCCTCACTTGCCTGAGCGCCTCCAACTCTCTTTTTGCACGTACCCCTGGAAAAGAGTTGACCACACTGGGATAAGTCTATAGGCTTCCCTCACACAGAACGCAGTGTCTTTTTTTTTTCTCTTTTTTCAAATTTTTCTTACTTTTTTTAAGTTTTTCTTTATTTTCCTTTTTTAAAGTTCTTTTTAGTGGGACCATTTCCCAAACACGGGATCACTGTTCTATTCGGATGAAGACAGTGGTGCTCTGTTTGCAACGGATGCCCTGAAAACACATTCTCAGACGAATCCACTCCAGACTAATGAGCCTATAGCTAGGTTACCAGCCGGGCCGCCCGGGTCCCGGGTGGCCAGCCCGTGCAAAGACCATGGAAGGTCGCAGCAAAAAAAAAAAGCGAAAAAAAACTAGGCTACCAGAGTGGCCCGGGTCCATTTGCCCGGCCGGGCCAAAAAGAAGTTAAAAAAAATAAAAAAATAAAAATGATTTTTTAATTTCAATTTGTATTTTAAATTTGGTAAAGAATTCCGATGTGACCGTGAGGCAAAAGTTGTTCAGTTTATGTTTCTGCATAACACAGTTTTTTTCGGAGTTTTTGGATTTTATTTTTTGTATATTTTTTGGGCTGGGACCTTCCCTGGTCCGCATGGCCGGGCCGTTCGGGAAAATAGGGTGACCCGGGCGGCCCGGCTGGTAGCCTAGAAAAAAACCGAAAAAAAAAACATGTTATGCAGAAAAATAAACTGAACTACTTTCGCCTCAGGGTCACATCGAAATTCTTCACCAAATTTAGAATAAAAAATATGGCCCAACTGGGCAAGTGACCCCGGGCCACTCTGGTAGCCTAGGCCTACAGCCTTTTTTTCCACCTGCTCCTGAACCATTTTGTGTTTATCTGTTTTGGTGACTGTGAGTCCTGAGTATATCATCTATGTTCATGCATCTTCAATCTGCGGTAGGTTCACTCTTATTCAATATGTAGACAGTGATCCTGACCAACCACATCTTGTTCCTAGTCCTACCCGCACCTCACTTTACAAAACCGGAGAACTGCACTTTGTGGACATGGTTGCGAGTCGACACAGGGTTGGTGCTTTCCAGTGACCCCCTTCAGGACAGGTGGTCCCCATCTTGAGCTTGTCAATTTGGTTGTGTCCAACCCAGCACGCGCGAGTTGCTAAATAACTAAGTTATGTCTATCCACTTTGAAACTTACATGTGCAGACATAGTGCGATGTAACAAGTGGTCAAAAAGCAGAACTAAAGGCAAAGGATATAAGTGTTGCATACCCCGACGTCGGCGGCCCTTGACTGGTTGGCACCTACCGCTCAGGTCGTCGGCGAACCAAAAAAAAGAAAAGAAAAAAGAAAAAAAGAGTCCAGAACCCCTAATAACCCCACCAACAACCCCATAGTGGCCCCCATTACTCCCATACCTGTCTCTTATACACATCTAGATGTGTATAAGAGACAGCACACACACAGACACACACACACACACACACACA